TTAAACTTAAATTAAATAATATATATATATATATATATATATATGTATCAATCGCTACATTAATTGTTTTTCTTGGATTAGAATATGTACAGTGATTCAAATTTTTAGGAAAAAAAATGCATTTGTTCGTACTTGGCATGATTAGGCGCATCGAGAGACGATTTTACAGAATTACGTCAATTTCACAAAATTATTTCGATCGTCAGTTATAGCATTTTAACCTCACTTTCACATCTTCGACAAAGCTGCCACCCCCGATATCGCGAGATCGGTAATCCGATTGCGTTTGACGAATCGCTCGTTTTCGCGATTCACATATAATGACAGTATCCGATACGAGGACTCGCCTTTTAAGCGTACACGTATGCTTAGAGGAATCGCCGATTGGCTAATTAAACCAAATTGTTATCTAGTATTATAGATTTTGCATTAAGAGTCGCGCGCGCATAAAAATTCAACTATGTTGATTCGACAGTATTGATAGAAACGATCATATTTCTGCGATTTAAATTTTATGTTTGTGCATGCCGCGTATGTTGTAATCGCGTGGATTGAAAAAAAAAACAATACTATGCTTAGTTATAGTTTATTAAGCGGAGTGACAAGTTTCGAGAACTATATCGGAATTACAACAGATTCAGATTCTATCCTTTATTATTGTGAATTTCAGAATGCGAAATTAAAACCAGTTTTATGATATGAGAAAAATGTACAAGACATTTCTTACTCTGACGTAATTCACTTCGAGATTGTCAAGCATATTTAAGGATAAATGCATTAAAGAGTGAATTCATCATATATAACATTGTTGAGATAACATTGTTTTTTGATGATCGATTGATAATTTCATTTAATTGTAGCTTCGATCTACACCATTACTCACTATTGTACCGTCGTCGTCGTCGTCGTCGTGTCGAGCCACCGTTGTCTTTCGAGTGGCGAATGGCGCGACACGAAAAATGCGAGCTCATCGACGCCAACGACGAGAGCCAGAGCGTATGCACGCATACACCCGGTTTATCACTCACACACGTACAAGTCATACGCACACAAGCTTCTCCTAAGTACCATAGAGCGGCGTGTGATGACTGCCACCGCATACAGCTGGAGCACGCACGTACTCGTTC